GGATTTTGATATAGTCGAGAATTAAATATAGTCGGGATTATGGTAGTCGGTATTTCGATACAGTCGGGATTTTGTTACAGTCGGGATTATGGTTGTCGGGATTTTAATATAGATTAAAATCCCGACTATATTAAAATCTCGACTGTAACAAAATCCCGACTGTATCGAAATACCGACTACCATAATCCCGACTATATGAAAATCCCAACTATATTGAATTCCCGACTATATTAAAATCCCGACAACCATAACATATCGAAATACCGACCATAATCCCGACTATATCGAAAATGTCTACAATAACATTTTTAAATTATTCCGGAGCGTTGTCACTATTAATTTGTAAATAAAAACAATTAATAATTAAGTTTATTATGAATAATTCAAAAAAATCAAATAAATTAATAATTAAACTGTAGCACAAGGTGACTACGCTCCGAAAAAAATTTAAAAATGTTATTGTAAAAATTTTCGATATAGTCGGGATTTTGATACATTCGAGATTTTGATATAGTCGGGATTATGGTTGTCGAGATTCTGATACAGTCGGAATTATAGTTGTCGAGATTCTGATACAGTCGGAATTATAGTTGTCGAGAATCTGATACAGTCGGGATTATGGTTGTCGAGATTCTGATACAGTCGGGATTATGGTTGTTGAGATTTTGATATAGTCTGTCTGTATCACGAAAATCTGATACGAAATGTCGTTGGTTCGATTCGCAAAAAAAAAACCTACAAAAATTTGTGGTGGCTGTTAAACCCGAAAGGGGTAGAAATAAGGCCATTCATCAGATTCTCGCTTTGACACATTGTGACAGCTGTCATTTCGCGACCCAAAAGTTTGAGAAACACCGGTTTAAAGTTCTGCCTCGAAGTGGCTGGTGAAAGGAGGGAATAGAAAAGAAAAATCAGTTTCAACTCTAAATTTCATTTACTTCTTAAATTTCATTATTTATTGTTTTTTTTTTCTCTATGTTATCAAATACAAAATTGACAAATTCCATGAAACAGCCTAACAAGTTAATCACAAATCCGCCTCGGAACTCTACGTCAACTTTATTACTTGCCGGATTTCTTCTTACGTAAAAAAAGAAAAAGAAACAACAACAAACGATTATTTATTATCATTACATTATTAGCGCTTTCTCGAATTATTATTGTTCTCTTCTTTAATTTATTTATAATTATTTTTTTTTTCATTTTATTTATTTATATTTTTTGTATATATTTACACGATTTAATTAATCCCTGATCACAAAGTTCACATGACTAAAAACGAAGCTACACGACCACGAATAAAAATCGAAATACAAAACAAAAGAAAAACAATGAGCGATTACATATTGTTTCTAGTTTGCATTTGTGAGCTTACCGATTGATAATGAATGATATAACAACAACAGCAACAAACAACATCAATAATAAACAATAAAACCGTACGCATTCTGCGTAGTTAACAACGAACATAAAAAGTTATTCAATAAAATAATAATAATAAACAGACGATTCATGTATTTAAATAATTTAAACAGAATAATGATAATTGAGGAAACGACAGATTTGATCTAAAGTGTTTGATTTAGTTTGTTTACCTTCCTTATTATTTGCCTTTGCGAGTGGGTGGATGCGTGCGTTTTTGTATGTGTGCGTATTTATTCATTAATTATTATATATTATGTTCTCTCTTCTTTTTGGTATTAATGCGTTTAAAACGCGAAAGAGTCATCACCACCTCACGTAGGCCTTGTACTCGTCGTTCACGGACACCCGTTTTATAGTCTCGTATCCTAGGATTATGCTGAAACTGAACGTCGCCGATTGGATGAGGCGAGCGCTCAGACCCTTCGAAAACATTCGGAATTTCTCCTCCTGCCAGAGTTCCCGGAACGCCAACTTCATCGAGGCCATCCTCTGCACCTGCAGCCGCGCTCTCACCACGTCCAACGGATTTGTTATGATTGTCGTCGTGAAGCCTCCGAACGTTCCAGCGATTGTTTGGATCAGCAGGTGCGACACCCACGACGGAAGTAGCCTGTACAACTCATCTACAAAAAAACAAACAAATTTAATACCGCGTCATATCATGATCTAAGTCTGACCTTGATAAAATTGGTAAAAAGCCCACCACAACGCGGAGTTGGGTACGTAAGCGCACAGGCTTGCGGTGTAGCCTCGGTAGAAACCGGAAAGCCCGTCCGTGCGCAGAATTTGCCTCATCACTTCCGTTGTCATAGCGAATTTTCCTTTCGTCAGATCTTCCCTGATTCCCAGCGGGTTAAGTTCTAACTGAAACAAAAACAGCTTTTGAACAACAAAATTTGCTTATTTTTAAACTTGCATTGAAATTAATCATCAGTATAGATAAAAATTGATTTTTTTGAAAATTGTTTGAAACTTTTAAAATTGTTATCGTAGGCAACCAAATGTACTTTGTAACGTTACGTCGTCGGTAATCGCTGATTTTTTTCCTTGCGACACAGTGAAAATGGGGAAAAACATTTACGTTTTGCAATTTCGATTATTCCAATATTGGTAAACAAATCCAGTCTGCGAATGTTGCGAGATTAACACTTTCGAAAACATTGGCTATATTTGGACGGACGGAAAAACGCGTTATCTCGCGCGCGAACTGCCTGATAAATGAGATTCATGTGTCCAAATGCAAACAAAACTGAATAATTTGGACCTTGATAGAGATAACGTTAGATAGCTGCTGTAATAATGTAATCAGAGTGTTGTAGAAACTAGAAATGATACCTTTGCACCCTTCACAGGCGGTATTCCCATCATCATCATATGCTGACTGAGGATGTCAAAGGGCACTATGATCGTCTGCCCGACAATAGAGGCGGCTCCGCCGGCCACCAAAGCCCTGATCCGCGTATCCACATCCTTTTGAGCTAAAACGTGACGAACGCCTTCGTACGTAGACACGTAAAAAACGCCTAGAAGAAACAAACAAAATAACTCACAACCTTGACCCAAATGCAAATTCCAATTGTAATGGAAATACTTGCCACTGAATATTTGTACTGAGGAGATCCAGAAACCGCGGTACAGACCGGAGAAACCTTCATATCTGAGGATCTTTCCATAAGCATCAAACATACCTAAAAACACGCACGTTATAAAAAAATATACATCAACAAGATTATGATCTCAAGTTCCTAACCGGAATACATGTTGTTGTGCTTCTGGATCTGCAGCCGGGTCTTGATTAGGGTCAGGGGATACAGCGCACATCGTACGGTGAAGGAGCTCAACATGGACAAGGGAAAGAACTTGGTCTTGTCCATCATGTGCCATTCGATGTTCTTGATGTAGGGCTGCTGTGCAGTCTCCACGATCGATGCCATCTTTGGAGAATGCTTGTGTGCGATGTTTCTATGCTCTTTGTGTTAGAGGAAATGGAACTGCATCGTAGCTGTTGCTTTTTTTGGTGGTGAATTCACTGCAGAGGAAGACCTCCAGGTAACGTCTCATTCCGAGCGCTGCGCAATCACAACTCTCGCACAATTTAAACCGATGATACCATAGTTTCCCGAAGAAGTATTCCAAAAAATAGTATGTGTTAGGAAATTTGGGGTCGCCTTCCTCAATTATGCACCTCACAGGACTTTGATTTGACAATTACTAATACTGACTGACTGCTGCTACTATCGCCTGACATTGACGCAAATCGATGATACCAATGTCATGAATTCACGCAACCCATTTTACTTGCTCTCCTCATATCTACTAAACCAAAGTACTTCAAAATTACACTGCTATTACAATAAATCAGTGCGTAGATTTATACTAATAACTTTAAATATTTTCCAAAGATCTTAAATTATAAGAGAATAACTAAAACATTTCAAATTCAAATTAAACAACGTGTGTTGCATATATTAAATCGTTGATTTGAGTAAAATTTCGCTGTATCAAAAAATCTGATACGAAGGGATATGTTCGAATCTAAGACTTAAATAAAGAAAAATAATTGGTTTATGATAAGTACCAAATTGTGCTGTAATCATATAGAAAGTATTTTGAAAACTAATTACATGAATACAAACAAGAAGTTGCCTAACTACAATACCCTTAATGTTACCGTTAAGTTGTATGTAAACTAATGGACGAAATTAAAAATTGAAATAAAATGAATGCGAAATTGTGAATCTGCAATATTTTTATCGTTACCGTTAAGTTGTATGTAAACTAATTAATGAAATAATTAATAATGGTTTTATTCTGTTTCAAAGATGTAATGCATTAATTTTCAGCTGGCGCAGCTTCAGCTTCTTCTTCCGTCGTCTCGGTTGGTGGTTCCGAAGGAGCAGCTTCCGTAGGCTCGGAGGGCGCCGTCGCTTCCTCATCGGCGGTAGCCACCGTCGCTACTGTATGCTCTTCGCCCTCCTGAGCTTCCGTCATGTCCTCATCCATACCCTCTTCGTGTATAGTAGCATCGACTTCTCCCTCGCCCTTTTCGACCTCCGTAAGATCAGCGACATCTCCAGCCGCAGCCGCCACGGAAGTCTCCACATCTTCCGGAGCTTCCGCAGATTTGAAGGCTTCTTCCGGTGCGGTTGTTACTGGCGACGGCGGTGCTCCGGATGGTATCTCGCGTTCCGCCACCTGGATCTCCATCTCCTCGGTCTCCGTTTGCTTCTGCCCTTTGATGATGCTCCTCGCTTTGGTCACCTTGTCTCTCGTCGCCGATATCGGTAGGAACAGTTTGTACTCGGATGGAAGCTCATCTTCTGAGTAGAGGCGATCCGAGAAGTAGATCCTTCGGATCCTGACGTTCGCGTGGATCTGCACGCGAACGGTCTCGACGTAAACCGTACCTTAACATCATCATCAAAATGTAAAAACTAATATTATATGTAGCGAAAGGATGGAAGAGATGGAACTATTGGAAATTTTGTGGAGAGAGATAAATTGTGATTGGATCGAACCGTAAGCTCGCCTCGTGAAATCGGCCAGATTGAATTGTATTTGATTCCATCCGCTGCTCAGGCCGATGGGCATTGTTGTGCAGAAGGGCCGAACCTTCGTCGTCGATTGAAAGTTCGAGACGCGGAACCTCCTCCTCATATCCTTGTCATCTGCAGCAGAAATACGTATAGTTCAACGTTCAAAAACGTTTCTTTTCCCCACCGAGGATCTGTATTTCGAACGTGAAATACTTCTTCAGATTCTTGACGACCATGACGAGGAACGGCAGTCGAATACCGAGCGAGGCTCGCGGCTTTATGGGACAGGTGATGTAAGTGGTTGCGACGTTCGTTCCGGCGACTTCGAGCACCAAAGACTTGACCTCATCGTCGATGATGCGACGGATGTGTCCGTTCTTCACCTTCGGAAAAAGGGAAAACAGATCGTGAAAACAGTGATGTTTCGATTGATCCGACCGGTTCCTCGATCCGCACCGATTTGTCCCAGAGGCTCAGCGGACTCGATCCGACACTGTAGAAGATGGACAGGAAACCGCTTGCGAAGGAATTGGCGAACATCTCAAGACTCGAATCGCCGATGACTTTTCCCCAAATGTACGTCACGTGTCGGATGTCTGCTTTCGACAATCGCCTCAGACATATCGACATTTTATCGACAATTCATCAAAACATTAATTTAATAATCAAATGAAAACACTTTACAGACAGATATTTATATATATTTATTTATTTCTTTCAATGTGTTTACAAATCTTTTGGATCGGTTTTCAGTATGTACTCGAGCCTCCGTTCTTCCGGTATAGTCAAGGTAATGCGATCGCGGGTGCTGACTTTTTTCAGTATTGGATCGCAAAACTCCCTGTGCAACCGGACACCGCTGAGCGCCTGCGGCTGCAACTCCTCGTGCATCCTGATCTCCTTTATGATCTGCTGCTGTTGTTCTCTGATGCACCTCTGGTATCGCTGGCGACAGATGACACGACTGCAAAAGCAAACAGACCAGAACGGAAACGCACATATGTCTATGCACACTACATATTCTATAGTCATACTACTACTACCATAAGTCACGCACATTGAAAACAGCAATTCACGAGCAAATTACCAAAAAAAATCTCTCAATTAATACTCAATAATTCAATATTTCAATAAAAAAATCAATTCCAAATTTAACACTACATTAATTACTACCATCATCATCAAGTTTAAGTTTGACAACTTATTAAAGTTTAGTAATTCATCATATGCGAAAGGGAGGCGGATATATCCGCCCTATCCTTTACATTTGCTTGTACAAAATTATTTGTAAGACTGCTGTGTAATTCTTAATGAGAAGCCACTAGTCGTTTACAGATTTAGACAGCTTTGACGTTTGTTCTGTAGAGGCGTGACTTGTGTTACACAGTAGTTTTGCAAATCACAGTTAAAAGAGCGATCACTTTTATCTATTTTTTTTTGGTTTGTAACACTGAAGCAACAACGCCATCTCGTGATTATATGCAAATTACAAATAATTCCTATTGGACTAGTGGATTATTAATACTCAATAATTCAATAATTCAATAAAAAAAATCAATTCCAAATTTAACACTACATTAATTACTACCATCATCATCAAGTTGAAGATTGACAACTTATTAAAGTTTAGTAATTCATCATATGCGAGCGGGAGGCGGATATATCCGCCCTATCCTTTACATTTGCTTGTACAAAATTATTTGTAAGACTGCTGTGTAATTCTTAATGAGAAGCCACTAGTCGTTTACAGATTTAGACAACTTTGACGTTTGTTCTGTAGAGGCGTCACTTGTTTCGCAAATCACAGTTGAAAGAACGATCACTTTTATCTATTTTTTTTTTAGTTTGTAACACTGAAGCAACAACGCCATCTCGTGATTATATGCAAATTACAAATAATTCCTATTGGACTAGTGGATTATTAATACTCAATAATTCAATAAAAAAATCAATTCCAAATTTAACACTACATTAATTACTACCATTATCATCAAGTTGAAGTTTGACAACTTATTATAGTTTAGTAATTCATCATATGCGAAATGGAGGCGGATATATCCGCCCTATCCTTTACATTTGCTTGTACGAAATTATTTGCAAGACTGCTGCGTAATTCTTAATGAGAAGCCACTAGTCGTTTATAGATTTAGACGTAAAAGCTTTGACGTTTGTTCTGTAGAGGCGTCACTTGTGTTACACAGTAGTTTCGCAAATCACAGTTGAAAGAGCGATCACTTTTATCTATTTTTTTTTAGTTTGTAACACTGAAGCAACAACGCCATCTCGTGATTATATGCAAATTACGAATAATTCCTATTGGACTAGTGGATTATTAATACTCAATAATTCAATAAAAAAATCAATTACAAATTTAACACTACATTAATTACTACCATCATCAAGTTGAAGTTTGACAACTTATTAAAGTTTAGTAATTCATCATATGCGAAAGGGCGGCGGATATATCCGCCGTAGCTTTGACGTTTGTTCTGTAGAGACGTCACTTGTGTTACACAGTAGTTTCGCAAATCACAGTTGAAAGAACGATCACTTTTATCTATTTTTGTTTGGTTTGTAACACTGAAGCAACAACGCCATCTCGTGATTATATGCAAATTACGAATAATTCCAATTGGACTAGTGGATTATTAATACTCAGTAATTCATCCAACGATGACTTTGGTCTATTTGTATATTATCGATTACACTTTGTATATTTCGTCGCAATCAAATTAGTTGTAACTTATAAAATATATATAAAGATGTAACCACACTGTACGTCCCAACTACAGTATACACACATAATGGCATAGCAATCCATAATGTTCGTAGTTTAATCAAAGTACTCGTCATAATACTACATAAACTAAAGACTAATTTCAGATCTTGCGATATAGTCTCATTAGTTAATAACTTAAGAATCAATCTTAATACGTAATCTGATGTAAAGAACATTTCATTACACTTAGTTTGACGTTATTAAAGTATTAGTTTGTTAGATTTAATGCAACTAAGTATTTGAGTATGCCGAGCGCAACTGACGTAACGAATTGTCAAATTAATTATGTAATTTTCAGTTTAGTCGAATTCGAGTTTCGCAGTAATCCGTATCGATTGCAATTAGACCTGTGCCCATTCGTACTACCATCAATCCAGCTCTTTCTCAGTCCAAGCGCTGCGCTTATCGCCCAAATTTTTCTCTCTTTCTATACTAATAACGAAAGCCCATCAATCACCGTTTCATTTGAACGCAATAGATCACCCCTTCAAATATACCTATATACATCTTTTTCGTTCCTGAATACTCACTAAGGTAGCGTTAGATTGGAGTAGCTCGGATAGATGCTCGAGTCCGATTTGGTGAACTTCAGGATTCGCGACTTGACCCTGTCCGGATTCCAAGGGACGAAGTCGGCAGCGGCAGCAGCAGCCCCCGCCGTCGCCGCCGGTTCCACCAGCGCCGCCCCCGTCGAAGCGAGACTCGCGTTGCTTTTGTTCGGCATCGCGGATGGACGAACAAACGAACGAACGAACGAACAAACTGCACGGGGAGGTCGTAACCTTGCCTTAGCCCTTCGATTTGTTTGCGTTGCTAGGTGAGGATTTATAACCCAAAACTTTGTCTCCCCGCGCGCACACCTCAACCCTCTCTAAATCGTATTGTACGACCACCATCATCATCATCATCATTATTATTATTATAATAAATCACTTCATATTAAAAACGTATTCCACCTACTTTCTTTATTCTCTCCATATGTTTTTATTTTCTGCACGATCGCAATCGAAATACCAATAATTTTAATCAATTAAGAACTTATTAATATACCGGTTCTGTTTCGGTTACAGTCTTAAAGTTCATAATATTATTTAACCTAACCTAATTTATAATAGTTAGGTTTAGGTTAGGTTTACACAGCAGATTACGCTTATGAAAAATTGCTCTCTGTCAGCAAAAGATTAATATTACCCCTAATTGTTAGTTCTAACCTGACTTAATTTTAGCTAACCTATTTTTTTTTGTATTTTTATCTGAGAACTAACCTAACTTAACACAATATGTCATGGTTAGGTGTGATTAAGTTAATAGGACTACTACTACTACTGTTAAATCAATCCATTGCGGCGTATATATCCGCCCTATCCTTTACAGAGGAGACTTCGCTTATGTAAAATTGCTTTCTTGCAGCAAATGTTTAATATTACGCCTAATTGTTAGTTCTAACCTGACTTAATTTTAGCTAACCTATTTTTTTTTTGTATTTTTATCTGAGAACTAACCTAACTTAACACAATAAGTCATGGTTAGGTGTGATTAAGTTAATAGGACTACTACTGTTAAATCAATCCATTGCGTATGAACGGCGGATATATCCGCCCTATCCTTTACACAGGAGACTTCGCTTATGTAAAATTGCTTTCTTGCAGCAAATGTTTAATATTACGCCTAATTGTTAGTTCTAACCTGACTTAATTTTAGCTAACCTATTTTTTTTGTAGTTTTATCTGAGAACTAACCTAACTTAACACAATATATCATGGTTAGGTGTGATTAAGTTAATAGGACTACTACTACTGTTAAATCAATCCATTGCGGATGAGCGTCGGATATATCCGCCATATCCTTTACACAGGAGACTTCGCTTATGTAAAATTGCTTTCTGTCAGCAAAAGGTTAATATTACCCCTAATTGTTAATTCTAACCTGACTTAATTTTACCTAACCTATTTTTTTTTGTATTTTTAACTCAGAACTAACCTAACTTAACACAATATGTCATGGTTAGGTGTGATTAAGTTAATAGGACTACTACTACTGTTAAATCAATCCATTGCGGATTAGCGGCGAATATATCCGCCCTATCCTTTACACAGGAGACTTCGCTTATGTAAAATTGCGAAAGGTTAATATTACCCCTAATTGTTAATTCTAACCTGACTTAATTTTACCTAACCTATTTTTTTTGTATTTTTATCTCAGAACTAACCTAACTTAATCTAACCTAATTTAACAAAATATGTGATGGAATAATGTTGAAAACTGTTCGCATCAATTAATTTTTAAGTAAACTAGATTGCTGCTGTCAGGTTTTCGTTCGGACACCCTCCCTTTCCTTCCATTCTATTCGATTCCCGTATTATTACTATAACATGAACATTCTGAATTATTGTGCGCCCATTTTTCAGGTCGGTTAATAAATGATGGGTGCTATTTATGACGTTTCCGGGGGGCCGCCTCGTCCCTCTTCATTCGACGCGCGACGTCCGATTTTATGGCCCCATTAAGCATCCTCCTCCTCTACCTCCTCCCTTGTCCTCTCTCTCTCTCTTCTCGTCGTCTCGACGCGACGAAAAAGGGACGAATTCCCAATGCGGTGCGTAATTTTTGCATCGCCCAAAATTGCAATCAATGCACTCTGTCTCTCAATTGATTCTGTTCATTCGTTGTGTTGTATAGGTGAAAGAGAGAGAGAGAGATGGAGAGATACGTTTATGCGGAGATTCAGCAATGCACGAAAATTAACAATTTGACTAATTGTTGCTATGGCGATAAGCAAACAATAAGGACGTTCCCGTTTATATTCCGGAGAGCTCCGGTTGCCATGGTTACATGTCACTGATTGTTTGCTCGTACGCGATTCGAGCGAATGTCAAAAGTTAAATCAACGCCTGCCTCTCCCGTATGCACATATATATATATACACATTTTATTTTTTTTCTCTCTCGTATTATTAGTATATTTGCACAAAAGCAAAAGTAAATAATGTGATTGGATTAAAGCGGGCGACGGCATTGATCACGAGCGACAATTGTTCGCGAAGCATCGATTTTTGTTTTCAACATATTTCATAAACGAATTTGAAATGCAGACTGTTTACAATATTCCAATAAAAAAAATCAATTCCAAGTTTAACACTACATTAATTACTGCTATCATCATCATCTAGTTGAAGTTTGACAACTTATTCGAGTTACGCAAACCTTTGCGAGAGAGCGGCGGATATATCCGCCCTATCATTTTGCTTGTACGAAATTATTTGTAAGACTACTGTGTAATTCTCAATGAGAAGCCACTGTAGAGGCGCCACTTGTGTTACAGCAGTTTCGCAATTCACTATTTTTTTAGTTTGCAATACTGAAGCGACAACGCCATCTCGTGATTATTTGCAAATCACAAGCGCGTTTCCCATGCGTGTGCATTTTTTTTTCACATTTGAATGAAGTCATTCATTTGAATAATTAGTCTTGGTCGCAACGGTGCATAATTTGTAGGTTACAGCGAACATGTCCTTGTTGCTTAACTATGCAACTTAATGCAACTTTGATGTAATTTATTCCCACGCGACTTAACCTGAGGCCGCAACGAAAGTAGCCAGCCCCGGTAATAATGATTAAAGCTCGACGTAAATAATTTAACACTTTTCTGCACAACGGCAGGCGGCAATCTCTTGCTTTGCGTAACAGCACGGCTAATTGCGGGCGGGAGTGATGCAACCGATCGTAAATCCCAATTATAATTTATCCACGCGTCCAAAATGCATTAAATTGCGATTCGAATGTAAACGCTGCTGCACGTTTTCTATTTACTCTTTACTCAGATCGAATTTATTTAATTAATTATAACACAGCTTCACCATTAGTGCGGAACATAAGTGTGGAAGATGTGTACAATTACCATTGAAAATTTTGTGCGTGGAAATCGTAGTTTACACATTTTTTTTGTTGTTTTGGCAGGAGAAAAATTGTATTTGAATAAACGAATGTATCTAGGGTGAAAATGAAAAACGATAAAAATCAAAATGCGCAGCCGATGTAATAGATGTGTTAGAACCGGAATAATGGAAGCGGTTTCATTTGAATAACAAAATGTTTGGCCTATTGGAAAACTCGATAAACAATGCGATAAAAACAAATCATTTCAGAATGTTTATATATTGGCAAAAAACAAAACAAAAACGATCAAAAAGTTTGAATTCCTACAATTTGATCTGGTTTCCCTCTAGGACGTTTTCTGGGTCCAAAACAAACGAAAACAATAAAATTTTACATTACAATTTAGGTAAGTATACAATTTTGTATACTTAATGATTGATTGATTTGTAATGAATTTAAGGAAATTAATTTTTGAAATGGAGAAAAAAAACAATTAATTTAAAAAAAATGTTGTTTCATAATTCAAATTTATGGTGAAATTAATGCGCGGAATAAATTAGGAAGAAACTCACACGCTTCGAACGTATAAAGAGAAACTAAAATTGAAACTTGATACTTGCATTTATTTCACGATCCAAAGACAGAACTCATAATTCTCAGTTTTCTTGTCTTTCTAACAGTTTTTTTTTATATAATTTATATTAATTTACTTAATTATGTATTCAATAAAAATTTTACTGTATTTTCTGCTTTTCAACTAATTTCTGTATGGACTTTATGCATTGTTGCAATATGTTAAATTAGAATAAGTTAACTGTCAAGTTTCCTAACTTAAGTAATAACATTCGACATATGAAACAAGATCATATTTAAACATTTACAATCAATTTAGTCATTTAGTCAATTTAGCGCCAAAAGTTTTTCTACTTAAGTAATGCAATTTGAATTCGAAACGCTATTATTACTAATAACAGTTTTATTACAATTGTTTAATACTATCATGAAGTAATAAATTAAGTTTGTAACAAACGATTAAGTAACTTATATACATTTCATACAAAATATACCATAAAATAAGATTTGTACCAATAATTTTAAGTCAATAAGTAAAGTTAAGTATAACGAATATAAATTGATGCATTTTTTAAGTTGTCATAAAAGTATCATTACTATTTTCCTAGTCAACTATTTTCTGCAGTTGCAATATGTTAATTTTGAATAATAAAAATGAAAATATAGGTGCCCCCACACTGTATTTATTTGATGAAATTCTATATATTTGTTGTTATTGTCATAAAAGAATCGTTACTACTTTGCTTTTCAACAACTTTCTCTATTGTAGTAGTAATAAATTGATTATGAATACTTTGTATAAGCAAAATCTTCTATGTAAAGGATAGGGCGGATATATCCACCGCCCTTTTATATATAGTAAATTACTAAACTTTTGGATTATTTACATCAGAAAAATGCAGTGCGGTGGCAAGATAGGTGCCACCGCACTGCATTTTTGTGATGTAAATAATCCAAAAGTTTAGTCATTTACTATAGGCGAAAGAGCGGCGGATATATCCGCCCTATCCTTTACATAGAAGATTTTGCTTGTACAAAATTATTTCTAAGACTATCTTGTAGAATTCTTAATGAGAAGCCACTAGTAGTTTTCAGATTTAGACGAAAAAGCTTTAATGTTAGTTCTGTAGAGGCGCCACTTGTGTTACAGTACAATAATACATAGCAGTTACGCAATTCACAGTTGAAATTTATTTTTTTAGTTTGTAACACTGAAGCAACAACGCCATCTCGTGATTATTTGCAAATTACAAGCGCGTTTCCCTTGCTGTGCATT